GGTCCACACTGGATAGGTGGGTTCACACTGAGTAGGTTGGTCCACACTGGATAGGTGGGTTCACACTGAGTAGGTTGGTCCACACTGGGTAGGTGGGTCCACACTGGATAGGTGGGTCCACACTGGGTTGGTGGGTCCACACTGGATAGGTGGGTCCACACTGGATAGATGGGTCCACACTGGGTAGGTGGGTCCACACTGGGTGCTACCTGGCTATCATGATGAGGCCTGACCGTGTGTAGTGTCCGTTGGTCAGGAAAAGAAAATGTTTATTCCACAAGGACAGGCAGGGCCTGCCCACTGGCTGAGGACTGAAAAGCTTCCCTGGTACCCACCATACCCATCTGTGACTCTGCTGCTCTGCCCCCTGGTCACAGGACACCCCCAAACTCTCTTTATCCCTGTTCCTCTATACAACTTTTGTCCAGGGCCCCTCACTTATTCCCTGTCCTTGGAGAGGGAAGAGTAGGCCCTAAGACACAATCCCAGGTTCACAGCACCCATACCCTCTCTGCGGTATCTGTTTCCTGGGGGCTGCCCTCCTCCTATTTGCAGGCGATCTTCTCCATACACAGCCTCAACAACCTGTTAGAGGGAGCGGGAGAAGCGTGTGATCCCACTCGGTTCTTTCCCAGCCTTGATTGGGAGCCCTCGACTCTGGGGGGCTTTTCCCCTGAAGTCCGCACAGCTGGATCAGGAGCGAGGCAGCCGAGGCAGCCGAGGCAGCCGAGGCTCCTGTATTATCCACAGTCAGGCAGAGCTATAGCTGTCTCAGGCTGTTGTGACCCTGTTGCCCAGAGATCACAGAGCTGTGTCTCCCTCCCAGCTGGCTCACCTTGCTGCCCCCACTCCCTGCAGCGGCTTCACTTAGTGAATTAACACAGCCATGAACCCACCACAGGGGAACTTGGGTCTGCAGTGAGCCAGTAGCCATGGGTTGGTTCACCATTGCCATAGTGGCACTACTACCAGCCTGTAGATTTTGTGGAAGACCACTACCTTTCAGGAGGCCAAGGACTGTGGAACGTGTTCCTCATCTGTGGCTGTCTACTGGGCCCATCCCTCACAAGTTGCCTGAGTCTATCATTCTTTCCAAACAAGATGGGGGTGGGGGAGAGCTACGGCTCCGTGGTTAAGAACACTTGGTTCTCTTACAGAGGACCCAGATTTGCTTCCTAGCACCCACATGGTGTCTCACAACCATCTGCAACTCCACTACCAGGAGATCCAACGCTCTCTTCTGACCTCCACAGGCACCGGACACTCACACGGTGCATGTACATACATACAGACAGACAAAACCTTCATACACTTGGGATAAATAAGTCTTTTAAAAAAGTGGTTAAGGGCTGGAGAGATGGCTCAGTGGTTAAGAGCACTGATTGCTCTTACAGAGGACCCGGGTTCAATTTCCAGCACCCACATGGCAGCTCACAACTGTCTGAAGATCCAGTTGCAGGGGATCTGACACCTTCACACCAATGCACATAAAATAAAGTTAAAATAAACCATGAAAATATTTAATTAAAAAAAAGTGGTTAAAAGGGGTTGGGTGCTCAGACACTGGTGGAACAAAGGCGCCCATATTTTGTTCTTTGAAAGACTGAAGTGTGAAGGAGGGACAGGAGAAACAGGCCCTCAGAGGAGCCCTTGCCAAGGCCCAGGCTACCCTGTCCTCAGTGTCCTTTTTGGTAGGGGTGGGTGGTCTCAGGTAGGGTGCTTCGGAGTCAGTGCATTTGTATGTAAATACAAGCTTTAAATGTATATAAACACGTATAGACCTGGCGCTTGTCTAGATAATATATGTATATGGAATGGATTTTGAAATGAAGATTTATAAAACCAAGATTACTGGTTTTGTTTATTTTTAAAGAATTAATAACGGTTTGCTCTTGGGGAAAATTTCAAATGCTTTTGATTTTCCTGGGCAAGCTATTAACCAAAAAAAAAAAAAAAAAAAAAGTTCTGCTATAACTGAGTAGCTGCAAGTGTGTATTGTATCCTGTTTTGCTTATTTATTCAGGGTCTTCTGCTGCCCAGGCTGGCCTTGAACTCAGGGTTACTGAGGGTAACCTGCTTCCACCTCCTGAGGGCTCTACCCTGAGCTAGGCACCCAGCCAGACTAACTACTTTATTATGAAGCATGGAAGCTGCTGGCTGTAATCTCAGCATTCAAGAGGCTGAGGCAGGGGGCCCACCTCCAGTTTGAGATCAAAGTCAAGATGATCTTGACTTTATGGGGTACACACTGAGACCCTGTCTCAAGATAAAGCCGCCAAAACCCGCTACCATGCTGCCTCACTCCTGCAGAGGCCCCCAAACCTCCGAGGTCCCCACTCTTAACACTGTGGTAATGGCGATTAGGTTTGCGAGTCTGGGAGGAGACAGCCTCAAATCCGCAGCATGGGGGTCTGGACACAAGCACCAATCAATTCCCTAGTTCATTACTGCCCATCCTCAGGCAAGTTCGGGTTATCACCAACCATACCAAACACAGCATCTGTATATAAAAATCTGGAGAGCTGGAATTACTCACTGGAAACATATTGACATGATAGATAGTATTAATATTATGTAGCAATTTCCAAAAGTAACTCTTATTCATTGGCCAATTAATTAAATGTGTTACTTCCCGCCGTGTTTCTGAAGTAGGCAGTGGAGTCATTTCTAGAGAGATGCTGCCCCCTGCAGGCCACCCGTGGACTTGAAGCATCACTTTTTGCATAGTCCCGCAAAAGAACTCCCCACTGCTTATCTCCTGTGACTGACCTCTTAATAACTAGCTGAAAGATATGTGTTTCCACCCGAGGTCCTGGATGTCCCCATGTCATAGGACAATCATCAGGATTTCCCCCTGATCTGACTATGGACTAAAGGGGCAGCCTGAAAGAAACCAACTGTCATTAGCTTCAATATCCATACCAGAAATGGACAGTCAAATGCTCCAGTGAGGTTTATGCTTTGTTTCATAACAGGAGAGCCAGAAATGAGTTGCTAGATTAAATGCCGAAATCTGCTATTCTACTGGTTTCCTAGCTGAGGCTGGGTGATGAGTGTCAAGCCATCACCCTGCTGTGTACCCTGGTGAGTACCGCTTCCCAGCATACCCAGGGGCTCCCCTTGTCCCATCATGAATGTTCCCAGGAGGTTACATAGTCATGGAGTGGTCACTTGCTTCTAATGCTTTGCCACAGTTTTAGTGACTTTTCTCGTTTTTGTGACCAAATACCCAATATAAAAACAAGGGTTTATTCTGGCTTGTAGCTTGAGGGCGCAGTCTCTTATAATGGGGAAGTCATGGCAACAGAAGCTTGGGGCAGCTGGTTGAGACAGTGCCACCTCAGATGAGAGAGTCTTCCTCTTGGGACAATCTATACCAAGAGTAATCCCAAATGGGAGTTCTTGACTTCTCCTCCTGCGTCCATTGTCTGTCCCCAAGGGCTTGGCTCTGTATTTATTGGACAACATAGAAAACATGGTATTGGAAAGGTTTGAGGAATCGCCTGAGTTAATTCCTTTAAACCAGAGTTTACAAGGGAAGAATTGACTTTATTGAACCCTAGAGACCCAGAATAGCACGCCAAACTGCAGACAGAGGCTGTCAACCTACATCTATGTGCTATTTCCATCATTTATGTGGACAACTAAATCATTGTTTTCAGTGCTCCACTTTCATCTGATGATTTAACTAATCTCTCTCTCTCTCTCTCTCTCTCTCTCTCTCTCTCTCTCACACACACACACACACACACACACACACACACAGAGTTTAGGGTCATAGAAGAGTCACAAAAGAGAAAGAGGGAATACGGTCTGAGATTAAAACCGTGCACTCAGTTTAACTTGTAAAAGTGGGTTGCAGGGCAAGTCCAAGGCCCAGTAAGCTTGGCTACACTGTTTTCTTAAACCTAGATAAACAGGCTGAATACACAGAGGGAAACAGGTTAAGTACATAGCTTTAAGTGGTCTCCAGGTATATTATTAACTCGGTTGCAAGGCCAGCAAAAGTTCAGCCTCAGAAGCTGAGAGTGTTTCCAGAAAGGTTTTCACACAGCGGTCACACTGCCTTTGGAGGGAGGAAGCTGAGAGCGGGAGGGAGGAGGAAGCTATGGGTTAGCTGCGGGTGGGCACAGACTCCAGCTCATAGAATGGCCCCGCCCACATTTCAGGGGACTCTGTCAACATCCATGAACTTAAACTAGATAATCTCTTACAGTCACAGAGGGTTGTTTCCATGGTGATCCTCAGTCCCGGCAAGTTGACAATATTAACCCTCTTACCCTTCAAAGACACGTTAAAGGAGAAAACAAGAGACGTGGGAAGATGCCACGATCCTGCCCAGGGAAGGACCTGTTGAGGGAACTCTAGCCAGCCCGAGCATGGCAAACACGGCTCTGGCAGGCCTTGCCTTTCTCCCCAATTCCCTCTGTCTTGCTAAAAACCAGTAGATTACATTCCTAAAGCTAGCCACCAAGGTCTAGTCCGTTATTTGGCTGCTTCCTCCTCCTGAGTCTGACTGCTAAGTTCCAGTTATCAAAGTATTGAAGTTCCGCAATCAAAGCTCCCTTTGGCTCACCTAATTAACATGCCCAATTAAAATCAAACACCTCATCCCAACATGAGGTTCCCATCTCCCTTTATAAACTGTGTCTGTCTCCTCTTACCAGCCGTGTCTGTCTCCTCTCTATCCAGAGACAGTCCTTTGCCCTCCACTCTGGGACAAATAGCCCTGCCCTCCTCCTATTGTTCTCTCCCCCTTCTCCCTCCTCTTGTCTCTTGTCTTTGTCTCTTATTCCCTGCCCTTTGTCCCTCTGGGGCAAATAAATCTCCTTTGTGCTGAGAACTTGATCTTGGGGTGTTTTGAGCTGCCTCCAAGGTTCCCGTCTCCATCTCTGGAAGGAGGTAATACACAAACTGTTGCTTACCCACAGCTCAGTCTGACCTGGGCAGCCTGTTTGGAGGGCAGTACATGCCCCAGTCTCAGGAGCAACTTAGGGTGTCAGATGTGATCTAACCGGGCAGCAGTTGTTAAACTACGGGACAAAGCAGTTGCCGGAACCTCCAACAGTGTCCACGGAGCCACGTGACCCTGCCAGCGTGGAACTCTCCAGCCCTCTGCAGAGTCTCCCCAAAGTCAGAACCCCACAGCTTTGACTCAGGGAAGAGCTACTTACTTCCTTAACCCCACTTCTTGTGGAGGGGCCGAGAGGTAACACTTTGAGAGAGGATAAAGTTGGTTTAGCCTGGTAGAAAGTGGAAACCACTCCACCCAGTGGGACTGAACGCTGGTCCTTCGAAAGTTTAGAGAAGAGGCCAAGTCCAGGAATCCTGGGATGGAGATCTAGTAAATCAAACTCCTTGGTGACGAATCTATCTCCCCCAGAGCCCCATAGCTGGAAATACAGTCTGTCCTGTGTCTTGGTGACTTTGCCTTGGGGGTAACCTGGTGATCAGGTGGGGAGGCCAAAGTGACTCAGGGCTGCTCAGGGACAGATGCTGTACATCCAGGGGCTCCAGGAGCCATCCAGGTGACTACATTTTGGAATTCATGGTCCTAAGGGACCTGATACCTGCTTTCAGTTTGTGAGTTCTGCTGTTACCTGTCCCAGCCATGGCTGGTGGGCTTAGAGTGCAAAGAGACTGTCCCTTGCTGCAGTGCCTTAGGTGACAAGACCCTAGGGAGGACCTTGCCCCTCTCACTGCTGCTGTGGAGAGGTGGTGGGAGGTCCTGATGGAGAAGGTCAAGCCTCTACTGGCCACTTGTTGGCCATGTGGTATTGGAGATCCACTATTTATAATGATTTCTGTATCTATATATTTTTATTCGTCAGGAGAGCTGCCCCTTCAATCACATGAAGATGACTGGAGCCCTGGAGGCTATGGATTTCCATAACCCAGGACTTAACTGCTCTGTAGCCTATAGAAATCTGGCTGTGACTGCCACTAGAGGTCAGAGAAAATAGGCTTCAGGGAAAACTCTCTGGTCGGTTGAGCTCAGTGCCACACTGTCCTCAAAGTTAATCTGAGATACAAACGTTTGAGCCAGTTGTGGTGGCACACACCTTTAATCTCAGCACTGGGCAGGCAGAGGCAGGCAGATCTCTGTGAGTTTGAGGCCAGCCTGGTCTACAGAGTGAGTCCCATGATGACCAGGGATACACCTTGTCTCAAATATCAATGAATTAATTTTGACC